CAATGCAATTTAAAACGTCCAATGCAGTTGACAACCGCCGATACAATTAAAAATGAAGAGGTTTAGCATATTGTATGTAGCCATATAGTTTGACATTCCAATCTATAGTGAAAATGTTTGTGAAATACCAAATGGTGTAGGCCTAATAGTTAGTGTTACTGATGTAGGTGTGCATGGATAGCGCATGGCACCATCGCGTGGTCATTGGTTAAGATTACAAAAGTGCAGTGTGATCGAAATCATTTCCGTCGTTATACACCAGATGGCATCAGATACACGTTAAATTGAATACCCCTGTACTCTGAGACTGGAATATGCAACCAACCACAAAATGCTGACTAATTACAACACAACACAACAATGAATCAATCAATTATTTGAGTTTTACACAGTCTTAGTGGTTGTCTTATTTTATTTACAGGAAAATACATTTTCCAAATCAAAAGTTTCATGAGCCAAGCATATTTGAAACTACATATAGGAATCACATTGATGTAAATGAACACTCAGTGCACATTCTTGCATGCAGAATGAACAACAGTACCAGAACAGGTGGGCGTAAAAGGTTTTGTCTGTTTTCTCACATGCATTAGTTACTACAAGAGGTACCATTAAATTAACAACAATTTTGCTAATCAAACTTAAATTGTCACAGTTGCCAAAATTGAATGAATTGCCTATGACAAAGTAAAATGCTATAATACATGTCAAATACAGTACATTCGGATGTTCCACAAAATGACAAAATAATTGTATCAAATAATTGTTAGTAAGTCAAAGTGTTGTGGGAACATAGTAGAGTAGGCCTAAATGAACTGTTGCAATTTTATAGAATATCAAAGTATATTTGATTTTGTTTGACTTTGATCCATAGTCTTGGTTACATAGCTAAACTCATGGTCATGTGTACATGTTTTCATGTATACAGTTTCAAGCATCACCTCTTGATTCTACTCACTCCATACCATTCTCAGTCACTTTAAGACACTGTTTCATCCAGTAGTATACTGTAGATACTTCCTATCAACAGGGCTGAGCAACACATCATGTTTTTTTTTGTTTTTTTACAGTACAGGGAAATCAGGTTTCAAACTATGTCAGGTGTCCTTTTCAAGACACAAAATATTAGTTAGAATCCCAAGGAATGAGGAGAAGCCTGAATATGTAGGTTCTTTTCAGCCTTATTACCTATTTACAACAGTAGTTATAACCAAGTATATTACAAAAGTTCACTCCTTTACTTCCATGAACACTAACTATTCATGGTGCAAGCTATTGTATTTCTCCTCCCACAATGCTCTCTGTTTAGCATTGATTGAAAGAGACAGTTCAAATATAACAAGTAATTGAGGCATCACTCACACTCACCCATTCAATGCAAAGGCAAATATAAGTACCATATTAACAAAGTATACATTACAATATATAATTTACATATTTATAACTTACATACATTATTTTCCATGTCACTTCTCTTCAAGACAGTTTAGTCTGAGATGTAGTGGTAAAAATATAGCAGATGCACTTATTGTACACTTGTTAAGATTCTGCCATTGCGGTTAATGATTTCATTCTGTGACACTGACATGTCACAGTCATTACAGTCAGGGTATAAGCCAATCAAAAAACCTGGCACTAGTACAGTGCCTTGTAAAAGTATTCATCCCCCTTGGCGTTTTTCCTATTTTGTTGCATTACAACCTGTAATTTAAATGGATTTTTATTTGGATTTCATGTAATGGACATACACAAAATAGTCCAAATTGGTGAAGTGAAATGAAAAAAATAACTTGTTTCAAAAAATTCTAAAAAATAAATAACCGAAAAGTGGTGTGTGCATGTGTATTCACCCCTTTGCTATGAAGCCCCTAAATAAGATCTGGTGCAACCAATTACCTTCAGAAGTCACATAATTAGTTAAATAAAGTCCACCTGTGTGCAATCTAAGTGTCACATGATCTCAGTATATATACACCTGTTCTGAAAGGCCCCAGAGTCTGCAACACCACTAAGCAAGGGGCACCACCAAGCAAGCGGCACCATGAAGACCAAGGAGCTCTCCAAACAGGTCAGGGACAATGTTCTGGAGAAGTACAGACCAGGGTTGGGTTATAAATATCCGACAGAGCACCATTAAATCCATTATTAAAAAATTGAAAGAATATGGCATCACAACAAACCTGCCAAGAGAGGGCCGCCCACCAAAACTCACGGACCAGGCAAGGAGGGCATTAATCAGAGAGGCAACAAAGAGACCAAAGATAACCCTGAAGGAGCTGCAAAGCCGTACACTCAACAGAGCTGGGCTTTACGGAAGAGTGGCCAGAAAAAAGCCATTGCTTAAAGAATAAAATAAGCAAACACGTTTGGTGTTCGCCAAAAGGCATGTGGGAGACTCCCCAAACATATGGAAGAAGGTACTCTACGCTTTTTGGCCATCAAGGAAAACGTTATGTCTGGCGCAAACCCAACACCTCTCATCACCCAAGAACACCATTCCCACAGTGACCTGTTTCAGTCTTCCAGAGATTTGAGACTGGGACGGAGGTTCACCTTCCAGCAGGACAATGACCCTAAGCATACTGCTAAAGCAACACTTGAGTGGTTTAAGGGGAAACATTTAAATGTCTTGGAATGGCCTAGTCAAAGCCCAGACCTCAATCCAATTGAGAATCTGTGGTATGACTTAAAGATTGCTGTACAACAGCAGAACCCATCCAACTTGAAGGAGCTGGAGCAGTTTTGCCTTGAAGAATTGCTGCAAAAGGTGGCTCTACAAAGTATTGACTTCTTGTTTGTTTCACAATAATACATATTTTGCATCTTCAAAGTGGTAGGCATGTTGTGTAAATCAAATGATACAAACCCCCCCAAAATCCATTTTAATTCCAGGTTGTAAGGCAACAAAATAGGAAAAATGCCAAAGGGGGGTGAATACTTTCGCAAGCCACTGTATGTGCCACCCAATCAGTATACCCAATGTTTATAGATATCACTGATTGAATATACCGTATAGGGCAGGGATAATCAACTAGATTCAGCCGCAGGCTTATTTTTTCTTGAGTGGATGGTCAGGGGGCCGGAACATAATTACAAATCATTTGTAGACTGCAAATGGACCGCAAGAAGCCCAAACAGATATAATATTTGACTAAAACATACTCATTTCTGTATAGGATCAAATATATCCCTCTATTATGCGTGGGAATACTTTGTAACAAATTTCCAAAATTAAAATCACTTGTCCCCCCCCCAAAAAAAAATCACCTGCCCGCGGAACGCCAGTTGGAGAACCTTGGTATAGGGGATACACTAACACAGCCAGGCTATAAGGCTACAGTACTAGAAGGACTGGTCTTGGATTTGACCTACAGTAACCTCAGCAGAGCTGAGATGACAGCTTTGTTCAGCAGAATATTTACTGTACATACACAGGTGTGAACAGAGGCAGCATAATCAAACTCTAAAATTACTACATTAAAAATACATTTTATGACATTATCAAAAAAAGAAACAACAAAGTTCACAGTATACAGTCTGAGATAGGTCGCTGGTAACAAATATGAATTGTTGAACTAGATTGATTTTAGTGTGGGTGGATATAACAACAGTTAATTAAACTCAGCAACCAATTAACCGTACTGAACTACAACGGAAAACAACAGTGGTTATTGTAAAACACAATGTAAACCTCTTGCCGAAGATGTGACATATTTTTTATAGGGGTGAAGATTGTAGACTGAGACAACACAAAACACCCTGTTACACAGATATTACCCTAGTGATAGTGAGTAGAGCTTTGCCAGGTGGTGTGTGTGTGTGTGTGTGTGCGCGCGTTTGCGTGCGTTTGTGTGAGCGAGCCCAGTCCGATTCCTGCTGTGCTCTGCTGGAGACAAGACAAAATGCCTTGAAATCCATTGTATTTGTTCAGTAAACCAGAAGTCTATAGCAACAGACCCACAGCTCTGTTACTAATGCACCAATGTCCAATAATAGCTCCTAAGAAAACCATCTCTTAGCCACTAACAAAGACAAATCAGGGCTGCGGTCAAAGTAGTGCACTATATAGGTCTAGGGAAGGGTGTTATTTAAAATGCAGAGCCAGATAACTTGAAAGCTACTGAGGTATTTTGAATATATTACTATACCTCAGTTCTGAGGAGATAACCTGTGAACAACACATTCAGTAATGTTATAAGGAAGATGTCCTTATGATATAACCCAGCGCCAGTGGCTGAGATAACAGAAAGGGACACTCATTTATCGCAGCTGTGGTACTTTAAATTTGAGCAGTTGGGCTACCTTTAAAACTGTATGCTTATTAGCCTAACCTTAATGAATAACTTGATATGATTGTAAAAACTTGATGATCATTGTTTCATTTCATCCAATGACCTTTCTAGTAGTTTTTTTTTACAGAAAGAAGTAGAGGGTGCTCAACCAAAGGGAGTAGAGGTGAAACCTAAAAATGTGTAGACATCATTGGGCAGGAAAAGGCGCAACGTTTAAAAGATTGACGTAGAAAGCTATTAAAGGCCAAAACGTCAATCTTTTTTAAACTTGTCTAATAAAACTACGAATTTTTAATGGCGAGCGTTGCGCCTTTTCAGGTCCATATTAGTTTTTTTAATAACACAAACAAATCTACACAATAAAATAAGGAAAATACTGTCTCAAAAAAGCATTAGCCTACTTCTTCAGCAGCATAAAAAATTTACATTTCCTCAAATTGAGTAAAGTGCTAGAAATGAAAAATTATTTTACTTCATTGTTCAACAAAATAAAATGTTAGTCTCAGCTTGTCAGAGATTTTAAGTCTCTCAACCATTTCCAGCGATGAAAACATCTATAAAACAACATTGTTGATTAATTCTTAAAACTCAACCCCAACACTGGAAACGTATGGGAATATGCGTTTGGTGTGCGTTGAAACAGAAAAAAAAAATACTTTGACTTTTAGAAACATCCATCTCGTTTTTTCTTTCATTCTTCTTCTTTCACTCCTCTGCTGCGTCGGCTGTTTTGAGGACTGAGTCCTCTCCCAGGATCTTGCAGAGTTCGTTGAGTCTGTGTTGCATCTTGGGTATTCCTGCAAGTGAGGACTCGAGGCGCTGTTTCTCCTCGGTCAGGGAGAGACGCGTAGCGGTGTCCAGCTGCTCGAACCTCCATCCTCCCTCACCATCAAACTGTAACAGGTGGGTGTGGTACTTCCTGTAGGTATGACAATAATATGGGTTAGGGATGGGATTATTTCATGGTTGCGTTATGTTTCTCTTTTTTATTCATTCATTATCCAGTCCAAGCACAACATTATTTCAAAATAGTATACAATTGTCTTTGACCTTATGGTTGTGTTATGCAAAATGATTGCAGTGTTCGTGATGGTGCATGAGTTCTGTTCTATTGTGGTTGCAGTCTTGTTGTGATTATTTTGTGCTGTGCTCAGCCTTGTTGCGTGATGTAGTGTCATGCCATGTTATGTCATGTTGTGTAAAATGTCATAGGGTTACGTGACTGCTAAGGTTAAACAAGCAACTAACTAGCAGCAGCAATCTCCTGAGAGGAACAGACTTGCACAATATTGTGGTAGTACTATTTGTGTTTGCACTACAATCATGTTTAACGCCTGAGGCTAACTCTGAGAAAATACAGAATAGAGCACTGCTGACGTGATAACTAGTGGTGCATTTGCTTATAGCCTACTACTTGTTTTGCGTTCATTTTTTTGCATTTCCTTTTAATTTTTTCTAAAGGTTTCTATACAGTTTTCCTTTAAAACTGTTCTACAGTGTTCAGTACAGAATCTGTGTGCTTCAAGACAAACAGTGGCAGAAATATTACACATTGGAGGTTTAAGAAACTATCTGACTAGTCTTGCTTGCCAAACTCATGGTGCTCCACCTAAGTATTGGAGACACAGCGGCTGTCGGAAGAGACACTATGGCTGCATTTACACAGGCAGCCCAATTCTGATATTTTTTCACTAATTGGTCTTTTGACCAATCAGATCAACTCCAAAAAAAATATCTGACGTGAAAAGATGTGATTGGTCAAAATACCAACTAGTGGAAAAAAGATCAGAATTGGGGTGGACAGACTGGTCCAGATATGATATCTGTCTCTTACCAGAGAGAGGGCCTGTGGGTGATTGACAGTAAGGATATCCCAGCATCCTTTGCAGCCTGGAATATCTTTCCCTCCACGTCAATGCTGACAGCACTGGTGCACTCATCCAACAGGGCATACTTTGGCCTGACACACAATTAAAAGGAATTTAGTAATTTATATATTTCTAATTAACAATTCATTAAATCAACTAGCCACCAATCAATCAACTATCAAACAAGAGAGGAATATGGGCTATTCAATCAACAGCACCTCTAAATATCTACTATGAAGTTTTTCCAAACCATACATCCAGGGTTAAAGAAAGCCTAAGATGGCAGGCCAAGTCTTACCTGTTGTAGAACATGCGAGCCATACCCATTCTCTGTTTCTCTCCCCCAGACAACACGTCCTTCCAGTCCATCTCTGCATCCCAACCTACACACAGACAAACATACACACATCACAGTCAGTTAATATTGGAAGTACTGTCATTGACTACAGTTTTATTCTCCATTGGAATAAGTAGGTTAAATGCTACTCAAAGACCAACGCAAAGGGTTTAAAGTTAGCATAACCATGGAAACAACTGTGGAGAGAGTTGAAAGTTCAAGAATATTCGATAGGAGACTGACTTACTTAAAAAAAGTTATCTCTCTCAAAGGCTTAAAAACAAGCATTTTCTTTGTCCCGCTGCAAGACATCCTGTGTCTTTTCCATTTAAATGACTAGGTTTCATATTTATCTCAAAAGACCAAAAACCTAATACTTTCTAATCCTGATTTAGAACAATGATGCAGGAGGAAAACGCAGGACTCCACTGTCTCTACAGCCTGCGTTTGTGAACAAACAGGGAAAATAATAATCCTTCTGGAGGGAAACCAACATGTGGAAAATCTGGATCATGGAGATTATTTTAGTTGAATGATCCTCTCCTCTGGCTAGGAACCATTCACACAGTGGTTACAGACAGAGCAGCCATTCATGGCTCTAACCTAGAGTGACCAGGCTTAGTAGTGAGGTCACAACAATAGAGCTGATTGTTGGAGAATAACAGGACCACTGGTCTCCAATTAACTACACTCTACATGTCCTTAATAAGACCAAAGTGATGGAGCGGGTGTCACGCCCTGATCTAGAGAACTCGTTGGTTGGGTCAGGGTGTGAGTTTCTGTTGAGATCTATGTTATTGTATTTCTATGTTGTAGATCTAGGTTTCTATTTCTATGTTTGGCCGGGTGTGATTCCCAATCAGAGGCAGCTGTCGCTCGTTGTCTCTGATTGGGGATCATACTTAAGTAGCCTGGTTGCCTACCTTAGTTGTGGGATCTTGTTTGTGTTCCTGTTAGGCTTGTTGTGTGTATAGCCCATAGGACTTCGCGATTTCGTTGTTTTGTTATTTTGTCAAGTGTTTATTCGTCTTAATAAATATGTACGCATATCACGCTGCACCTTGGTCTGACCCGTCTCTCAACGATCGTGACAGAAGATCCCACCAAACAAGGACCAAGCAGCGTGCCCAGAAGGACCAAATGCCTGGGACTCAACGGGAGGTAACCTTGGTAGATGTCCTCCTCGGTTGGGGGAAAATTACTGAGGAGGAGGCCATCCGTTACCGGGAGGCAATGAAGGAGAATCTAGCCAATAAAGGACCCTGGGCGAAGGAAGAAGCCCGGGTAGGAGAGGAGAAACGGCGCCAACAGTGCCGACAATGAAGGAGACCCGAGAGGGCAACCCCAATAAAAAAAGGGTGGACGATGAGGCAGCAGGAGGCCGTAAAAAGGCTGACTGTAGAGGAGGAGGCCGCTATTTTAGAGGTCCTCCAAGACCTGCGGATCTGCAGTTTAAGAGAGGAGGCCACCACATTACAGGGGCTGATAGGGAGAATAGAGCAGGAGAGCTCCCTTCAAGAGGAGGCGCTGCAGGAGGCCCGTAGGGAAAAGGAAGTAGTGGAGGCACGGAGAGAGGAGCTGGTCAGGCAACAAAAGGATTGTGTGTTCATTGAGGAACCAAGGTATGCGGAGATACGCACTGTCGTCAGTGCGCATTCACAGCCCAGTGCGTCCTGTGCCAGCGCCCCGCACGTGTCGTGCGAAAGTGGGCATCCAGCCAGGACGAGTTGTGCCAGCTGTACACTCCAGACCTCCAGTACATCTCCACTGTCCAGTATATCCTGCTCAGGTTCGACGCACTGTGTCACCAGTGCGCCTCCCCAGCCTGGTACGGCCCGTACCTGCTCCGCGCACCAAACCAGTGGTGCGTGTCGCCAGCCCGGTACGCCCCGTACCTGCTCCTCGCACCAAACCAGTGGTGCGTGCCGCCAGCCCGGCACAGCCCGTGCCTGCTCCTCGCACCAAACCAGTGGTGCGCGTCTCCAGTCCGGCAAGGCCCGTGCCTGCTCCTCGCACCAGACCAGTGGTGCGTGTCCGCAGCCCGGTACGGCTGTTTCCAGAGCAGTCCGCTCCACCGGTGCCCACTCCAGTTCCGGTCAGCTGCTCCACTCCAGTGCCAGAGCAGTCCGCTCCACCAGGGCCGAGTCCAGCTCTGGTCAGCTGCTCCAGTCCAGTGCCAGAGCAATCCGCTCTACCGGTGCCTAGTCCTGCCCTGGTCAGCTGCTCCAGTCCAGTGCCAGAGCAGTCCGCTCCACCGGGGTCCAGTTCAGCTCCGGTCAGCTGCTCCACTTCAGAGCCAGAGCAGTCCGCTCCACCGGTGCCTAGTCCAGCTCCGGTCAGCGGTTCCACTCCGGAGCCAGGGCAGTCCGCTCCACCGGGGTCCAGTTCAGCTCCGGTCAGCGGCTCCACTCCAGACCCAGAAGTCAGCCCCTCTCCAGGGTCGGGGCCTCCCAAACCAGGGTCCTGACAGGGAACGGTGCATCGCGGGAGGATTGCCGATCCAGGCCCAGACGTCAGCCCCTCTCCAGGTTCGGGGTCTCCCACATCAGGGTCCAGACAGGGCTTGGTGCATCGTGGGAGGAAGGAGAGGGGAAGCATCGCGCCGAGGTCCAGACCAGACCAGGGGTGCAACGGGGAGGCAGAGAGGGAGAGGTCGTCACTGCCGGAGCCGGAGCCGGAGCCGCCTCCGAGGCTGAATGCCCACCCGGACCCTCCCCTAATGAGTCAGGTTAGTGCGGCCGGAGTACGCACCTTTGGGGGGGGGTACTGTCACGCCCTGATCTTTATCTAATTGTATTTCTATGTTGTAGATCTAGGTTTATGTTTCTATGTTTGGCCGGGTGTGATTCCCAATCAGAGGCAGCTGTCGCTCGTTGTCTCTGATTGGGGATCATACTTAGGCAGCCATGTTGCCTACCTTGGTTGTGGGATCTTGTTTATGTTCCTGTTTGGCTTGTTGTGTGTATAGCCCATAGGACTTCACGTTTACGTTGTTTTGTTATTTTGTCAAGTGTTTATTCGTCTTAATAAATATGTATGCATATCACGCTGCACCTTGGTCTGACCCGTCTCTCAACGATCGTGACAGCGGGATAGACTGATGCCACTAGAAAAATACAGAAATAACTTATTGAGTGGTCAAATGCACTACAGACAGCGCATAGTATGATAAGAGATCTAGAAACTTTTTGAGGAAGGATGTGTTAGCTGAACTAAGAGGGCCCCATTCAGTATGTCTGTTGTTGTTTGGGAATCCCTTTGGAAACCATATCATTCATCTCAAGGGTAAATGGCTTAAAAATAGGTTACTGGGAGTTTTGTCAGGCTTCAGCTACCTATTTTCATAGTGCACCTGTTACTATGCCGTCAGACTCACGCAGCCCTTTTGTTCTAGGCTGACTCAGATAGTATTTCCCTCACTGCCCCCTCCCCGGTTCTTACCGCCCTCGCGAGTCACTATCTGGTTGAGGTTAACGATGTCTAGTATGACCTCCAGGTCCTTGTCTCTGTAGCCTCTGTCATGCATGTCTTTTAGAGAGTCTGGGTAGATCACCTGGTCTCTCAGGGTCCCAATGGACATGTACGGCCTGAGGAGAGAGCGAGGGAGGGGGGAGATAGTCAGACACAACATTTGGGTAAAGAGGTCAGTGTGTGTGTGTGTGTGTCACGTTTCACCATTATAATAAAGCCGTCAAAACACCTGGAAGATCGGGTAAATATTTCACTACTCTAAGGTCTGGTTTCTCTCTCTCACTCTCCATGGAGATCCAGTTACTGAGTCTAGAGGGTAAGGTTACCTGCTGCTGATTTTCAATACATTTAACTGTGTGTGTGTTGTGTGTCTGTGTTTTTATTTTACTATCCTTGTGGGTACCAGAACTCCTCAAAAGGATTGTAAAACATGGAGAATTCTGACAAGTGGGGACATTTTGCCGGTCCCCACAAGGAAAAATGCTATTTTAGGCTTAGGGGTTAAGTTTAGGTTATGGTTACAATTAGGGTTAGAATTAAGGTTGGGGATAGGGTTAGGGGCTACGGTTAGGTTTAGGGTTAGGTATAGTTTTAGGGTTAGGGGTTGGGGGTTAAGGTTAGGCTTAGCGTAAATTTAGGGTTATGGTTAGATTAAGATTAGAGTTAGGATTAGATTCAGGGTTAGGGAAAATAGGATTTTGGATGGGAATCAATTATTTGGTCCACACAAGGATAGCAATACAAATCTGTGTGTTTGTGTATATATACAGTGAGGGAAAAAAGTATTTGATCCCCTGCTGATTTTGTACGTTTGCACACTGACAAAGACATGATCAGTCTATAATTTTAATGGTAGGTTAATTTGAACAGTGAGAGACAGAATAACAACAAAATAATGCAGAAAAACGCATGTCAAAAATGTTATAAATTGATTTGCATTTTAATGAGGGAAATAAGTATTTGACCCCTCTGCAAAACATGACTTGGTGGCAAAACCCTTGTTGCTGACGTTTGGCAACTCAAACCTTCAGCTCCCTCCACAGATTTTCTATGGGATTAAGGTCTGGAGACTGGCTAGGCCACTCCAGGACCTTAATGTGCTTCTTCTTGAGCCACTCCTTTGTTGCCTTGGCCGTGTGTTTTGGGTCATTGTCATGCTGGAATAACTATCCACAACCCATTTTCAATGCCCTGGCTGAGGGAAGGAAGTTCTCACCCAAGATTTGACGGTACATGGCCCCGTCCATCGTCCCTTTGATGCGGTGAAGTTGTCCTGTCCCCTTAGCAGAAAAACACCCCCAAAGCATAATGTTTCCACCTCCATGTTTGACGGTAGGGATGGTGTTCTTGGGGTCATAGGCAGCATTCCTCCTCCTCCAAACACGGCGAGTTGAGTTGATGCCAAAGAGCTCCATTTTGGTCTCATCTGACCACAACACTTTCACCCAGTTCTCCTCTGAATCATTCAGATGTTCATTGGCAAACTTCAGATGGGCCTGTATATGTGCTTTCTTGAGCAGGGGGACCTTGCGGGCGCTGCAGGATTTCAGTCCTTCACGGCGTAGTGTGTTACCAAATGTTTTCTTGGTGACAATGGTCCCAGCTGCCTTGAGATCATTGACAAGATCCTCCTGTGTAGTTCTGGGCTGATTACTCACCGTTCTCATGATCATTGCAACTCCATGAGGTGAGATCTTGCATGGAGCCCCAGGCCAAGGGAGATTGACAGTTCTTTTGTGTTTCTTCCATTTGCGAATAATAGCACCAACTGTTGTCACCTTCTCACCAAGCTGCTTGGCGATGGTCTTGTAGCCCATTCCAGCCTTGTGTAGGTCTACAATCTTCTGTGGACAGGTGTCTTTTATACAGGTAACAAGCTGAGATTAGGAGCACTCCCTTTAAGAGTGTGCTCCTAATCTCAGCTCGTTACCTGTATAAAAGACACCTGGGAGCCAGAAATCTTTCTGATTGAGAGGGGGTCAAATACTTATTTCCCTCATTTTGAAATGCGTTTTTTTGGATTTCTTTGTTGGTATTCTGTCTCTCACTGTTCAAATAAACCTACCATTAAAATTATAGACTGATAATTTCTTTGTCTGTGGGCAAACGTACAAAATCAGTGCTCAAAAAAATAAAGGGAACACTAAAATAACACATCCTAGATCTGAATGAATGAAATAATCTTATTAAATACTTTTTTCTTTACATAGTTGAATGTGCTGACAACAAAATCACACAAAAATTATCAATGGAAATCAAATTGATCAACCCATGGAGGTCTGGATTTGGAGTCACCCTCAAAATTAAAGTGGAAAACCACACTACAGGCTGATCCAACTTTGATGTAATGTCCTTAAAACAAGTAAAAATTAGGCTCAGTAGTGTGTGTGGCCTCCACGTGCCTGTATGACCTCCCTACAACGCCTGGGCATGCTCCTGATGAGGTGGCGGATGGTCTCCTGAGGGATCTCCTCCCAGACCTGGACTAAAGCATCCGCCAACTCCTGGACAGTCTGTGGTGCAACGTGGCGTTGGTGGATGGAGCGAGACATGATGTCCCAGATGTGCTCAATTGGATTCAGGTCTGTGGAACAGGCGGGCCAGTCCATAGCATCAATGCCTTCCTCTTGCAGGAACTGCTGACACACTCCAGCCACATGAGGTCTAGCATTGTCTTGCATTAGGAGGAACCCAGGGCCAACCACACCAGCATATGTTCTCACAAGGGGTCTGAGGATCTCATCTCGGTACCTAATGGCAGTCAGGCTACCTCTGGCGAGCACATGGAGGGCTGTGCGGCCCCCCAAAGAAATGCCACCCCACACCATGACTGACCCACCACCAAACCGGTCATGCTGGAGGATGTTGCAGGCAGCAGAACGTTCTCCACGGCGTCTCCAGACTCTGTCACGTCTGTCACATGTACTCAGTGTGAACCTGCTTTCATCTGTGAAGAGCACAGGGCGCCAGTGGCGAATTTGCCAATTTTGGTGTTCTCTGGCAAATGCCAAACATCCTGCACGGTGTTGGGCTGTAAGCACAACCCCCACCTGTGGACGTCGGGCCCTCATACCACCCTCATGAAGTCTGTTTCTGACCGTTTGAGTAGACACATGCACATTTGTGGCCTGCTGGAGGTCATTTTGCAGGGCTCTGGAAGTGCTCCTCCTACTCCTCACTGCACAAAGGCGGAGGTAGCGGTCCTGCTGCTGGTTTGTTGCCCTCCTACGGCCTCCTCCACGTATCCTGATGTACTGGCCTGTCTCCTGGTAGCTCCTCCATGATCTGGACACTACGCTGACAGACACAGAAAACCTTCTTGCCACAGCTCGCATTGATGTGCCATCCTGGATGAGCTGAACTACCTGAGCCACTTGTGTGCGTTGTAGACTCCGTCTCATGCTACCACTAGAGTGAAAGCACCGCCAGCATTCAAAAGTGACCAAAACATCAGCCAGGAAGCATAGGAACTGAGAAGTGGTCTGTGGTCACCACCTGCAAAACCAGTCCTTTATTTGGGGTGTCTTGCTAATTGCCTATAATTTCCACCTGTTGTCTATTCCATTTGCACAACAGCATGTGAAATGTATTGTCAATCAGTGTTGCTTCCTAAGTGGACAGTTTGATTTCACAGAAGTGTGATTGACTTGGAGTTACATTGTGTTGTTTAAGTGTTCCCATTATGTTCTTGAGCAGTATTTATATATATATATATATATATATATATACTGCCGATTTTGCAGGTTTTCCTACTTACAAAGCATGTAGAGGTCTGTAACTTTTATCATAGGTACACTTCAACTGTGAGAGAAAAATCCAGAAAATCACATTGTATGATTTTTAAGTAATTAATTTGCATTTTATTGCATGACATCAGTATTTGATCACCTACCAACCAGTAAGAATTCCGGCTCTCACAGACCTGTTAGTTTTTCTTTAAGAAGCCCTCCTGTTCCTGTTACCTATATTAACTGCACCTGTTTGAACTCGTTACCTCTACAAAAGACACCTGTCCACACACTCAATCAAACAGACTCCAACCTCTCCACAAGGCCCTTACCTCACCTCGCTCATCAACTCATCCTTGACCGCTGGCTATGTCCCTTCCATCTTCAAGAGGGCAAGAGTTGCACCCCTCCTCAAAAAACCTACACTCGATCCCTCCGATGTCAACAACTACAGACCAGTATACCTTCTTTCTTTTCTCTCCAAAACTCTTGAGCGTGCCGTCTCTAGCCAACTCTCCTGCTATCTCTCTCAGAATTACCTTCTTGATCCTAACCAGTCAGGTTTCAATACTGGTCATCCAACTGAGACTACTCTTCTCTGTGTCACGGAGGCTCTCCGCTCTGCCAAAGCTAACTCTCTCTCCTCTGCTCTTATCCTTCTAGACCTATCTGCTGCCTTTGATACTGTGAACCATCAGATCCTCCTCTCCACCCTCTCCGAGTTGGGCATCTCCGGCGCTGCTCACTCTTGGATTGCGTCCTACCTGACATGTCACTCCTACCAGGTGGCGTGGTGAGAATCTGTCTCCGCACCACGTGCTCTCACCACTGGTGTCCCCCAGGGCTCAGTTCTAGGCCCTCTCCTATTATCTCTATACACCAAGTCACTTGGCTCTGTCATATCCTCACATGGTCTCTCCTATCATTGCTACGCAGACGACACACAATAAATGTTCTCCTTTCCCTCTTCTGATAACCAGGTGGCGAATCGCATCTCTGCATGTCTGGCAGACATATCAGTGTGGATGTCGGATCACCACATCAAGCTGAACCTCGGCAAGACGGAGCTGCTCTTCCTCCCGGGGAAGGACTGCCCGCTCCATGATCTTACCATCACGGTTGACAACTCCATTGTGTCCTCCTCCCAGAGTGCAAAGAACCTTGGTGTGACCCTGGACAACACCCTGTCGTTCTCTGCTAACATCAAAGCGGTGACCCGATCCTGCAGGTTCATGCTCTACAACATTCGCAGAGTACGACCCTACCTCACACAGAAAGCGGCACAGCTCCTAATCCAGGCACTTGTCATCTCCCGTCTGGATTATTACAACTCGCTGTTGGCTGGGCTCCCTGCCTGTGCCATTAAACCCCTGCAACTTATCCAGAATGCTGCAGCCCGTCTGATGTTCAACCTTCCCAAGTTCTCTCACGTCACCCCGCTCCTCCGCACACTCCACTGGCTTTCAGTTGAAGCTACTACAAAACCATGGCGCTTGCCTACGGAGCTGTGAGGGGAACAGCACCTCCTTACCTTCAGGCTCTGATCAGACCCTACACCCAAAACGAGGGCACTACGTTCATCCACCTCTGGCCTGCTAGCCCCCCTACCTCTACAGAAGCACAGTTCCTGCTCAGCCCAGTCAAAGCTATTCGCTGCTCTGGCACCCCAATGGTGGAACAAGCTCCCCCACGATGCCAGGACAGCGGAGTCACTGACCACCTTCCGAAGACACTTGAAACCCTACCTCTTTAAGGAATACCTGGAATAGTTTTATAGTAATCCTTCTACTCCCCCTTTACTACCACTGTCTTTTGTCTAAACTAACACCTGACTTATTTCACCTGCTAGCACTGACTTGTTTAAAGAAATGCACTTATTGTGATCAAGATGTGGTTGTCCCACTGGCTATCCTAAGTTGAATGCACCAATTTGTAAGTCGCTCTAGATAAGAGCGTCTGCTAAATGACTTAAATGTAAAATGTAAATGGCATTGTCATGCTGGAGGGTCATGGAAGGGTACCACATGAGGGAGGAGGATGTCTTCCCTGTAACGCACAGCGTTGAGATTGCCTGCAATGACAACAAACTCAGTCCGATGATGCTGTGACACACCGCCCCAGACCATGACGGACCCTCCACCTCCAAATCGATCCCGCTCCAGAGTACAGGCCTCGGTGTAACGCTCATTCCTTCAACAATAAACGCGAATCCGACCATCACCCCTGGTGAGACAAAACCGCGACTCGTCAGTGAAGAGCACTTTTTGCCAGTCCTGTCTGGTCCAGCGAAGGTGGGTTTGTGCCCATAGGCGACGTTGTTGCCGGTGATGTCTGGTGAGGACCTGCCTTACAACAAGCCTACAAGCCCTCAGTCCAGCCTCTCTCAGCCTATTGCGGACGGTCTGAGCACTGATGCGTTCCTGGTGTAACCGGGCAGTTGTTGTTGCCATCCTGTACCTGTCCCGCAGGTGTGATGTTCGGATGTACCGATCCTGTGCAGGTGTTGTTACACGTGGTCTGCCACGGCGAGGACGATCAGCTGTCCTCCTGTCTCCCTGTAGCGCTGTCTTAGGCGTCTCACAGTACAGACATTGTAATTTATTGCTCTGGCCACATCTGCAGTCCTCACGCCTCCTTGCAGCATGCCTAAGGCACGTTCACGCAGATGAGCAGGTACCCTGGGCATCTTTCTTTTGGTGTTTTTCAGAGTCAGTAGAAAGGCCTCTTTAGTGTCCTAAGTTTTCATAACTGTGACCTTAATTGCCTATCGTCTGTAAGCTGTTAGTGTCTTAAAGACCGTTCCACAGGTGCATGTTCATTCATTGTTTATGGTTCATTGAACAAGCATGGGAAACAGTGTTTAAACACTTTACAATGAAGATCTGTGAAGTTCTTTGGATTTTTACGAATTATCTTTGAAAGACAGGGTCCTGAAAAAGGGAAAAAAAATTTTTTGCTGAGTTTATATGTGTGTGTGTGTGTGTGTGTGTTTATTTTACTATTCTTGTGGGTACCAGAAGTCCTCACAAGGATAGTAAAACAAGGAAAATTCAGACAAGTGGAGACATTTTGCTGGTCCCCACAAGGAAAAATGCTATTTTAAGCTAGGGGTTAGGTTTAGGGTTAGGGTTACAATTAGGGTTAGAATTAAGGTTGGGGTTAAGGTTGTATCGTTTTAGGGTTAGGGTTTGGGGTTAAGGTTAGGCTTAGGGTAAGTTTAGGGTTATGGTTAGGTTAAGGGTTAAGGTTAGGGTTAGGTTTAGGGGTTAGAGAAAATAGGATTTTGGATGGGAATCAATGACTTGGTCCCCACAAGTATAGCAATACAAAACTGTGTGTGTGTGTCACGTTTCAGCATTACTGTAAAGCCGTCAAACACCTGGAAGAGCTAGTAAATATTTCACTACTCTAAGGTCTGGTTTCTCTCTCTCACTCTCCATGGAGATCCAGTTACTGAGTCTAGAGGGTAAGGATCCCTACTGCTGATTTTCAATACATTTAACTGTGTGTATGTAGTGTGTGAATGTGGTTGTGCGTGTGCATGCATGCAGAATATGCATCCGTGCATGCCTCTATGCAAGCCTGCATGGTACATATACAGATGTAGGATCTTCATTTGAGCCAGTTTGCTACAGCAGGAAAATAATCCTGCAGCAACAGGAAATGTGAATTATTATGTGGATTATAATGAATGGACATTTTTTGTAGGGGTTGATACATCTTTCATTAGGGCAAATCAAGTCTGATATTTTAAAGTGGAATTACAAACTTTAGAAGCCTTTTTAAACCTTGAATACCCTACAAGTTTCAAATGAAGATCCTACATCTATACATGGGTCCATGTGTGTCAGAGTCAGTACACGTGTGGGCATAAAGATGTGTGTGACAGTGACAACCACTGACCTTTGTGGTATGTAGAACATGTGTTGTGGGGAGGGTTTGTGCAGCAGCCCCCCATACACAGGCCACAGCCCACTGAGGATCCTGAACAGAGAACTCTTCCCACAGCCGTTAGGACCTGTGATCAACAGGTGCATACCTTCCTCCACCTGCAAGAAACATCATTCACACACACGTTATAGCCTCGGAGTAACTGAATAGTCTCATCACAGCTGCTGTGTCTAACAACCAATGACATGAGTTTGGCAAAGCGAGACTAGTCTGAATCACTTGACTGTAAGTAGTCCCTACATATTTTTTTGTCATGGTTTATGTCGAGTATTAGGAAGCCATACTGTCCTTATTTTATACTATGCAATTTAGTGTGTGTGTGCGTGTGTGATAATTACATGTGTGCTTCCTTCTCTTAGCCAGGGTTCACTTAAAAAAGAAATGCAAATCTCAAAGTGAGCTAATTTCCTGGTAACATAACAAAGGACAAAGCACCCTACCCTGGGGGAAGATGGCTGGAGGATTAGGAAAATATAGTAACAGCAAACACATCACAGGTACTGTAACATTTAGAATGATTTAGTAGGATGCTGGGCAGGATCTTTCGTAGGAAACATTTTCACAACACTTTGGAAATGGAAGACAAAAATATGTTTTCTTATTGGATAAGTTCAGGTAGTACTTAATTTGAAGTATTTCACTTAATTTGAAAACGTTTTTTCACTACTGAACATCGGCCAGGATTTTGCTGTGTTATTTCTCACCTTGAAGTTGAGGCTGGAGACCACTATGTCTCCATTGGGAGTGATGATAGGGACACTCTCACACACGATGCCATTATCCACATCGATGACTCTTCCTGCAGAAGACAAAGACAAAAAACAAAGGAGAAATCAGTCATTGTGTGTTGATTAATAATTAATATGATCAGTTCAGTCAACGAGAGCACATGTGGCTGCCAGAAAAATGTGTGGCAGCATATAAAAAGTGTGAGAAAGTGTAAAAGAGTGCAGCTGTAGATACTGAGGATGTGGCCAACTGACTAACTAGCTGTGTTAATGAAGAGTATGTCCAGATGCACACGTTCACCGTTAGTATTAGCCTAGCGGTAAGAGCGTTGGGCCAATAACCGAAAGGTGGCTTGTTTGAATACTGGGCTGACATGGTGAAATGTACCCTTGAGCAAGGCACTTAACCCTAATTTGCTCCAGGGGCGCTGTACTACTATGGCTGACCCTGTAAAACAACACATTTCACTGTACCTATCCGGTGTATGTGACAATAAAACATCTTACAGTGAGGGAAAAAAGTATTTGATCCCCTGCTGATTTTGTACGTTTGCCCACTGACAAAGAAATGATCAGTCTATCATTTTAATGGTAGGTTTATTTGAACAGTGAGAGACAGAATAACAACATAAAAATCCAGAAAAATGCATGTCAATGTATGTTATAAATTGATTAGCATTTTAATGAGGGAAATAAGTATTTGACCCCTCTGCAAAACATGATTTAGTACTTGGTGGCAAAACCCTTGTTGGCAATCACAGAGGTCAGGCGTTTCTTGTAGTTGGCCACCAGGTTTGCACACATCTCAGGAGGGATTTTGTCCCACTCCTCTTTGGAGATCTTCTCCAAGTCACTAAGGTTTCGAGGCTGACGTTTGGCAACTCGAACCTTCAGCTCCCTCCACATATTTTCTATGGGATTAAGGTCTGGAGACTGGCTAGGCCACTCCAGGACCTTAATGTGCTTCTTCTTGAGCCACTCCTTTGTTGCCTTGGCCGTGTGTTTTGGGTCATTGTCATGCTGAAAAACCCATCCACGACCCATTTTCAATGCCCTGGCTGAGGGAAGGAGGTTGTCACCCAAGATTTGACGGTACATGGCCCCGTCCATCGTCCCTTTGATGCGGTGAAGTTGTCCTGTCCCCTTAGCAGAAAAACACCCCCAAAGCATAATGTTTCCACCTCCATGTTTGACGGTGGGGATGGTGTTTTTGGGGTCATAGGCAGCATTCCTCCTCCTCCAAACACGGCGAGTTGAGTTGATGCCGAAGTGCTCGATTTTGGTCTCATTTGACCACAACACTTTCACCCAGTTCTCCTCTGAATCATTCAGATGTTCATTGGCAAACTTCAGACGGGCCTGTATATGTGCTTTCTTGAGCAGGGGGACCTTGCGGGCGCTGCAGGATTTCAGTCCTTCACGGCGTAGTGTGTTACCAATTGTTTTCTTGGTGATTATGGTCCCAGCTGCCTTGAGATCATTGACAAGATCCTCCCGTGTAGTTCTGGGCTGATTCCTCAGTTTTCATGATCATTGCAACTCCACGAGGTGAGATCTTGCATGGAGCCCCAGGCCGAGGGAGATTGACAGTTCTTTTGTGTTTCTTCCATTTGCGAATAATCGCACCAACTGTTGTCACCTTCTCACCAAGCTGCTTGGCGATGGTCTTGTAGCCCATTCCAGCCTTGTGTAGGTCTACAATCTTGTCCCTGACATCCTTGGAGAGCTCTTTGGTCTTGGTCATGGTGGAGAGTTTGGAATCTGATTGATTGATTGCTTCTGTGGACAGGTGTCTTTTATACAGGTAACAAGCTGAGATTAGGAGCACTCCCTTTAAGAGCGTACTCCTAATCTCAGCTCGTTGCCTGTATAAAAGACACCTGGGAGCCAGAAATCTTTCTGATTGAGAGGGGGTCAAATACTTATTTCCCTCATTAAAATGTAAATCAATTCATAACATTTTTGACATGCGTTTTTCTGGATTTTTGTTGTTGTTATTCTGTCTCTCACTGTTCAAATAAACCTATCATAAATATTATAGACTGATAATTTCTTTGTCAGTGGGCAAACGTACAAAATCAGCAGGGGATAAAATACTTTTTTCCCTCACTGTATATCATGATTACAGCTGAGTCGTTTGATGCTGAGGATGGATATCTGGCTTTAGACCAAGATGGTCAGAAAGAACATCAAGAAAGATACACAGCACAGGATTAGCCGAGGCTCTGTCCCAAATTGCACCCTATTCCCTTTATAGTGCACTACTTTTTACAAAGGCCCATAGGTCTCTGGTCAAATGTCAGTGTTTCCCCTAGGATTTTTTTCAGCAGCGGTGGCAAAATTAGAGTGGGGGGGAACGTCTGTGACGAGGTCACTTCTGGTGACTTTGAAAAGGACATTCTACTCCAAAATGAAAGAATATATAATTATGTTGACACAATTTGAAATATAATTTTCCCTTTAAAAGCATTATAACCTGTAGCCTGAAATAAATAGGCTGAAGCTTGGGATGGCACATCTGCATTTACAGTGCATTCGGAAAGTATTCAGACGCCTTGACTTTTTCCACATTTTGTTACGTTACAGGCTTATTCTAAAATGGATTCAATTGTTTTTCCCCCTCATCAATCTACACACAATACCGCATAATGACAAAGAAAAAAACTGGTTTTTAGAAATTTATGGAAATATCACATTTACATAAGTATACAGACCCTTTACTCAGCACTTTGTTGAAGCACCTTTGGCAGCGATTACAGCCTCAAGTCTTCTTGGGTATGACTACAAGCTTGGCACACCTGTATTTGGGGAGTTTCTCCCATTCTTCTCTGCAGATCCTCTCAAGCTCTGTCAGGTTGGATGGGGAGCGTCGCTGCACAGCTATTTTCAGGTCTCTCCAGGGATTTTTTAAATCGGGTTCAAGTCCGGGCTCTGGCTGGGCCACACAAGGACATTCAGAGACTTGTCCCGAAACCACTCCTGCTTTGTCTTGGCTGTGTGCTTAGGGTCGTTGTCCTGTTGGAAGGTGAACCTTTGCCCCAGTCTGAGGTCCGGAGCCATCTGGAGCAGGTTTTCATCAAGGATCTCTATACTTTGCTCCGTTCATCTTTCCCTCGAACCTGACTAGTCTCCCAGTTCCTGCCGCTGAAAAACATCCCCACAGCATGATGCTGCCACCACCATGCTTCACCGCAGGGATGGTGCCAGGTTTCCTCCAGACGTGACGCTTGGCATTCAGGCCAAAGAGTTCAATCTTGGTTTCATCAGACCAGAGAATCTTGTTTCTCATGGTCTGAGAGCCTTTTGGCAAACTCCAAGCGGGCTGTCATGTGCCTTATACTGATGAGTGTCTTCCGTCTGGCCACTCTACCATAAAGGCCTGATTGGTGGAGTGCTGCAGAGATGGTTGTCTTTCTGGAAGGTTCTCCCATCTCAACAGAGGAACTCTGGAGCTCTGTCAGAGTGACCATCGGGTTCTTGGTCACCTCCCTGACCAAGGCCCTTCTCCTCCGATTGCTCAGTTTGGCCGGGCGGCCAGCTCTAGGAAGAGTCTTGGTGATTCCAAACTTCTTCCATTTAAGAATGATGAAGGCCACTGTGTTCTTGGGGACCTTGAATGCTGCAGACATTTTGTGGTACCCTTCCCCAGATCTGTGCCTCGACACAATCCTGTCTCTGAGGTCTACGGACAATTCCTTCGAACTCATGGCTTGGTTTTTGCTCTGACATGCACTGTCAACTGTGGGACCTTATATAGACAGGTGTGTGCCTTTCCAAATCATATCCAATCAATTGAATTTAGCACAGGTGGACTCCAATCAAGTTGTAGAAACATCTCAAGGATGATCAATGGAAACAGGATGAACCTGTTTCCATGTATTTTTAATACATTTGCAAACATTTTTTACAAAAAAACTTATTTTCACTTTCTCATTATGGGGTATTGTTTGTAGATTGACGAGGAAAACATTTATTTAATCCATTTTAGAATAAGGCTGTAACATAACAAAATGTAGAAAAAGTCAATGGGTCTGAATACTTTCCGAATGTACTGTATCTAATTGAAAAACCCCAAAAGACTATGAAATAAAGGTTAAATAAAAAAAATAAAAAAAATGAATGCATCAAATGCTACAAATATACGCTGTAACTTGTCACTCCAGGCGACTGAACATTTTAGAGGCCCTTCTCCTTGCCGCAGAGTATTTGGTCACATATTCCTAGCACGCAATGACTACATCAATCTTGTGTCTCTACAAACTTCTTGGATGCATTTGCTGTTTGTTTTGGTTGTGTTTCAGATTATTTTGTGCCCAATAGAAATGAATGATGAATATTGTGTCATTTTGGAATAGATTATGTTTCTGAACACTTCTACGTTCATGTGGATGCTATCATGATTACAGAATATCCTGAATGAATTGTGAATAATGATGAGTGTGAAAGTTACAGACGCACAAATATCATTGAAGCTGGTAACCCTCCGGCTGCCGGCTTACTCCCTGCATGCAGCTCGGGGATTCGAACCGGCAACCTTTCGGTTACCAGGCTACCGAATAGGGAATAGGATGACATTTGAGTGTCTCAGAATGTGTATGTGTATCCTATGTACCTCTTGACAAATATGTACAAAATGCTTAACATCTCAGACAGTCTACCTTTGATTTCCAAAGGCCCGTCGATGTGCATCTCTGGTCTGGCCACGTTCTTCTTCTCTCCTGTTCCCGTGGTCGATGTGGATGAGCGCTTGTACACGCCCCTCTGCACCTCGCCAAACACATGGAACATGTTGTAGACACGCGTCGTGTAGCCCGCCAGCTCTGTGACCTATCACAGACAACCAGAAAGGTCAGAGGTCATTTGTTGAGGTAAATAACACTGGAGTCAGACTGAACTGAACAGGGTCAGTTAGGTCATCTTACCCAACAGAGTTCACCACCATTGCCCAACAGTAGATGTTTGCAAAGTAGAGCAGTGTGTGTGTCTTTGGGAAAACCCTTACATTAATGCACGTGAACTATCGGAGCAGCCAGCAGCAGAGCTGGTGTATAGCAGTGTATTGCAGTGTGCACTGAAAATCTGGTCAGGATTACAGTACAAGTTGAAGGGCCATTATTTGATCGAATGATGCAAAAGCCCTCTTTATAATTTATGCAACTAATTTCCGTTCATAGCTTAATCTGACTCTAAACAATGTCTGGTGTTGTTTTTTTTATAGCTGTTTGTATCTGTGTTTAGGGAACACACAGTACTGATGATGGCCCGAGGCCTTCCTACAGATAACATAGCCTGTCTAATGGGACGACTGTACACTCTTAGAAAAATGGGTTCTAGAAGGGTTCTGCGGCTGTCCCCATAGGAGAACCCTTTTTGGTTCCAGGTAAAACCCTTATGGTTCCAGGTAGAACCCTTTTGGGTTCCATGTACAACCCTCTGTGTAAAGGGTTCTACATGGAACCCAAACGGGTTCTACATGGAACCAAAAGGGTGTTACCTGGAACCAACAGGGGTTCTTCAAAGGGTTATCCTATGGGAACAGCCGAAGAACCCTTTTTGGTTCTAGATAGCACCTTTTTTTCTAAGAGTGTAGTGTCAACAGGAGCAACAGCCTACACACACTTGGAGATGGAAGGGAGGGAATGATGGGGATGGAGAGAGAGAGACATAGCCTAGAGACAGAAACATTCCCAGTCATGGAATCATCTCCCTATAGGGTACTGCTAGAGGAAACTCCATGAAAACAACCTAAGCAGACTAGAAATAGGCCTACAGTATATGATCATTACAGAGATTATCTAGCCATTACAGATTGCCTAGACACAAACAGATTGCCTAGACACAAACAGATTGCCTAGGCATTACAGAGAATGCATGGTCTACAGTACTGCATGCCTACATAAATCAAATCAGTCATACATACGTCATTCAAATGAGTTGCATGCAAAACGTCAAACATTTCAAGGAGATCTCTTCCAGGTTAGTTAGGGTGCCATTGGATTGGTAATGAGGAGGTGAACTCAGCCAGAAAGGCTACATGGGGTGTGGCAGGCAGTCTCTGGGGCCGGCTGGCTGGCTGGCTGTGTTAACTCTCTCCTGGGAGAGAGGGCTACTAGGTATAGCCTTCCCTGCTGGATGATCACCAGATGGAGGATTATTCACAGCTAGGCTAAGCCAGCCAGAGGAGTGGCAGACGGGGAAAGCCTTAAAGTGGAACTGACAGCATTTTAGCAATATTAAGTCTTATTCAAGTCTGTAAACACCCAGGAAGAATATGACACTTTTATTTATTTTTACATTTCTGACAAACGAGCACTTAGATATGGTCATTTTCACGTTTTCATAAATTCATAGAATGTTTGGGAATTACGTAGTAAGGCATTTGTGACATTTGAGGGAAAGTGCCTGTGCGTTTGGACAATTGTTATTTTTTTTTACCTTTATTAAACTAGGCAAGTCAGTTAACAACAAATTCTTATTTACAATGACGGCCTATACCAGCCAAACCCGGACGCTGGGCCAATTGTGCGCCGCCCTATGGGACTCCCAATCCCGGTGTCACAGATGTTGAAGGACGGGTTAGACCAAGGCGCAGCGTGAAATGCATACATGTTTATTATTCAAAATAAACACACGAACAAAACAACAAACCAACGTAACGTGAAGTCCTCAGGCTAAACACAATACAAGCCTATACACGGAACAAGATCCCACAACTAATGATTGCCAACAGGCTACTTAAGTATGATCCCCAATCAGAGACAACGAGCGACAGCTGCCTCTGATTGGGAATCACACCCGGCCAAACATAGAAACACAAAACCTAGAATGTAAACATAGAAATAATAACATAGATCTCCACACCCTGACTCAACATACAAGAGTTCCATAAGTCAGGGCGTGACAGTACCCCCCCCCCCCCCCCCCCAAAGGTGCGGACTCCGACCGCACAAACCTGACATAACAGGGTAGAGTCCTGGTGAGCATTCCGCCTCGGAGGCGGATTCAGCTCCGGGCATGACGACCACATTCTCTCAGCCTCCCCGTTGCGCCCCTGGTCTGGTCTGGACCTCGGCTCGCTGCTTCCCCTCTCCTTCCTCCCACGATGCACCAAGCCCTGTCTGGACCTTGGTGTGGGAGACCCCGAACCTGGAGAGGGGCTGACGTCTGGGCCTGGATCGGCAATCCTCCCGCGATGCACCAAGCCCTGTCTGGACCCCGGTGTGGGAGACCCCGAACCTGGAGAGGGGCTGACGTCTGGGTCTGGACTGGAGCCGCTGACCGGAGCTGGACTAAGCACTGGTGGAGCGGACTGCCCTGGCTCCGGAGTGGAGCTGCTGACCGGAGCTGGACTGTGCACCAGTGGAGCGGACTGCTCTGGCTCCGGAGTGGAGCTGCTGACCGGAGCTGGACTAGACCCCGGTGGAATGGACTGCTCTGGTTCCGGAGTGGATCCACTGACCGGAGCTGGACCAGCCACCGGTGGAACGGGCACGGGCCGTGCCGGACTGGACACACGCACCACTGGTCTGGTGCGAGGAGCAGGCACAGGCCGGACCGGACTAGGAACACGCACCACTGGCTTGGTGCGAGGAGCAGGAACGGGCCGGGCCGGACTGACGACACGCACCACTGGCTTGGTGCGGGGACCAGGCATGGGCCGTACCGGACTGGGAACAAGCACCACTGGCTTGGTGCGAGGAACAAGAACGGACCGGGCCAGACTGGGAACACGCACCACTGGTCTGGTGCGAGGAGCAGGAACGGGCCGGGCCGGACTGGGGACACACACCACTGGCTTGGTGCGGGGAGCAGGTACGGGGTGTACCGGGCTGGATACACGCACCACTGGTTTGGTGCGGGGAGCAGGCACGGGCCGTGCCGGACTGGAGACACGCACCACTGGTTTGGTGCGAGGAACAGGTAAGGGGCGTAACGGGCTGACGACACGCACCACTGGTTTGGTGCGAGGAGCAGGTACGGGCCGTACAGGACTGGTGAGGTGCACTGGTGACACAGTGAGTAGAACCGGAGCAGGATATACTGGACCGTGGAGGCGTACTGGAGACCAGGAGTGTTGAGCCGGCACAACCCGTCCTGGCTGGATGCCCACTTTCGCTTGACACGTGCGGGGCGCTGGCACAGAACGCACTGGGCTATGCATGCGCACTGGCGATACAGTGCGTATCTCCGCATACATGGGTTCCTCAATTAACCCACGCTCCTTATGTTGCCTGACCAGCTCCCTCTCTCTGTGCATCTACTTCCTCCTTCTCCCTACGAGCCTCCTGCAGTGCCTCCTCTTGAATGGAGCTCTCCCACTCTATTCTCGCTATCAGCCCCCGTAATGTGGTGGCCTCCTCTCTTACCCTGCAGATCCGATCCTTCTCTCTCTTTCGGCAATCCTCCTCCAGTGAGGATTCCTCCGGGAGCCCCCACGAGTTAGGGAACAGAAACTCATCGTCGTCGTCATCCTCCGAATCCTCAGTATAAAACTGTTCCCACTCTTGTTCCATTGGTCGTAGGGACTCAACCTGGAAACCCACCGGGTGCAGTGGTCGGGGCTCTTCTCTCTCGCTCCCCGACCACCCCTTTAGCCCCCCCAAAAACATTTAATGGGGCTGCCTCTCGGGCTTCCTCCTCGGCCGGCGCCTTCTGTGTTGCCGTTGCTCCTCTCCTGCATGGGCTTCCTCCTTCGCCCAGGGTCCTTTCCCCGCAAATATCTCCTCCCAAGACCAAATCTTCCCCACCTGTGTCCAGGGTGTTTGCTCCTGGGCACGCTGCTTGGTCCGTGTTTGGTGGGATCTTCTGTCACGGACGTTGAAGGACGGGTCAGACCAAGGCGCAGCGTGAAATGCATACATGTTTAATATTCAAAATAAACACACGAACAAAACAACAAACCAACGTAACGTGAAGTCCTCAGGCTAAACACAATACAAGCCTATACACGGAACAAGATCCCACAACTAATGATTGCCAACAGGCGACAGCTGCCTCTGATTGGGAATCACACCCGGCCAAACATAGAAACACAAAACCTAGAATGTATACATAGAAATAATAACATAGATCTCCACACCCTGACTCAACATACAAGAGTTCCATAAGTCAGGGCGTGACACACGGCCGGTTGTGATACAGCCTGGAATTGAATCAGGGGGTCTGTAGTGACGCCTCAAGCACTGAGATGCAGTGCCTTAGACCGCTGTGCCACTCGGGAGCCCATTTAAGACCCTGGAGTAAATATAACCGAATAAAAACATCTGTCCTGTCCAGGACCGGAGTCTATGCAGACCGGTGCGCCATAGCCAATCGGAGCTACAGTAGGCCTATATGCAAATACGCAATTGCCACATGGGCCTGACAATCATTCACTTTGAACTGGACTGTGTGTTTACAGGCAGTGCTACCTTAGATCATTAGAATGCATTGAAAAGGTAGGCTCTCTCCCTCAGTTGCCTATGCACATCAACAAGATCAACAACTAATGCTAGCCAGAGCGGTTTGAGCTAAAATCTAATGAGGGAACATTAGATAAACCCTCTCAAACCTTTCAGTAAGTTGGCCGTAAAAATCGCACTGATAACCGATGGGGAATAGTAGCTTGCTCATCCTTCTGCAGCTTGCCTGCCAATGCATGCTTGTCCCAACCCACGTTTTGACAACTGAATGGGAACTTGCCTGCCTGCCCGCCCATTTGATCGATGCCAAAAACATTTGATTGACAACTAAGAGATATGCTAACTGTGGATAACAGTGGCTCAAGTTCAGCATAGCTAGCTAGCTAGCTAACAAAGCGATTAACATTTCTTGCTAGCTAACCAAAT